GAGATATTGCGATACGAAGCCCGAGTAAACGTTCTCCGAGCGTGTAGTTTCAACAAGTAAGTCGTCTCTAAATGTATCATAAAAAGTAATATGGCTAGTGAAATGCAGTTCATTCCAGAATAAAAAACGTTGAATGGAACATCACATTAAAAAATTCATCCCATGAGTTGAAATCTTACAGAATAAGCTCAGCGTACTTACTCCCTTTTACATGATGCGTTATACGTGATTGGATAGAAAAATTCAGCGTGATGTGTGATTGGAACCCCCCTTTTGCCCCCCCTCTTCATACAGTAAATTAATCATTCCAGTTTAATCAAAACATTGGAAACAACAAAAAAAGAAAGAACAACATTTATATTTGGCAAAGAGTGAAAGATTATATAAACAGGCTTACTTGTCATTGGCTGCTGAGGATGCAAGAATCATTTGGTAGTGGTATTGGGAGGACTGTGCTTATTACTAGAAAGCCACACCTGTATACGGGCTCTCATGGGCGCTGCGGCATGGTCAGTGAATCGAAAAATAGTTGAGAATCAATCGGCAACCCCTGTGGAATCGTACTGCCCGTAGTATCGTACTGCCCGTAGTATCGTACTGCCCGTATTATCGTACTGCCCGTAGTATTGTACTGCCCGTAGTATTGTACTGCCCGTAGTATTGTACTGCCCGTAGTATTGTACTGCCCATATTATTATACGGCCCGTCTTGTCTGTTTTGTTTCGCTATGCGAGCCAATTTGGTGTTGATATTCTCGAGGGTTTCCTCGGGTAAACTTACCACACATATTATTATTCTGGAACAGCAGGCAGAATTCCATCGCCAGCCGCCTTTGATTTATAGTTAGCATTGCGTGACAGAATATCAGAAAGCGTTCTGTACAGGAAAAATGACTGTTGGGTTCTGTCAATAAATAATCGATTTCTACTGTATTTCGTAGCTAAAATAGATTCTGACGGTCATTAAGCTTTCTCTGCTGGAAAATTCTCTTTAAAAAATTAGCAATTCTTTTGGCTAATGCAGGGTCTCTGTATTCGTAGTACGAAAACGAAGACCCCCGGTCTTTGTTTTCGTAGTACGAAAGCGAAGACCCTTTATTAAAGCAGACAATCCTTTGAAAGTACGATTGTAGAAGTACCCCGAGCACTAGTAATTGTTATTTCAGCTCGCGCGTGGTTTTTCTTTGTCTTTCTTCAGCCACTACTGCTTTCGGCTCTTGGATTTGTTTTTCTATGCATTGAGTCCAAGTTTGGAACAGACATCCCTGTCGAAGGAGCGATCGGAATATTTTAGGGCCTCAATAAGGTTAAGTTAATCGGGCGCGTACTCTCTTTTTCGGCCTAGCGCGCATTGCGTGACGGACGTGTACTGTGAGAGAACACGATCTCGTTGTTGGTGGTGTGACAAAACAATAGCTTCCTTTGAATAATTGAGGTCAAAGGCCGACTATCGCATGTGCGGCCGAGGGAAACATTTTTGCGCGAACCTTAAACCACATGTTGAGATGGATGGGTAAAAAATTCAACTATGTCGGTTTTTCGAAAGTTTAAGCTTCCTCAGCAGATACGAAGAGGGTCACCTGGTAGCGAAATTGCAGAAGAGATTCCACGCTTCAAATGTAGTGAATTGCCGGTAAAACAGAGAATAGGAAAAGGTTCCTTTGGAGATGTTTACACAACCGAATACAAAAGTTCAGGAGATAGGAAGTGTCATACCGTTGTCGTTAAAAAAATGCTGTAGCTTTAAGTTGGGGGCGGGGGACGTCCATTTCTTATACATTTCAAAGTTAGGAAGGTGATTGTAGAATTTAATAATAAAGTGTTAATAACATAACTGGAGTGTGTTTATTTGGAACATTTCCATTCCTATTAGATTGGAATACCTGGTACAGGTATTCCAATCAAAACTGCAAAACAAGATAAAACAGTCATTCGCAAGATCGTGTCTTTTTCACTGTACACGTCCGTCAAGCAGTGCGCGCTAGGCCAAAAAAGGGAGTACGCGTCCGATTAAAGCCTGCTTAACCTTTTGGCAATCTAATAATGTCTTGTCTGTTCTGTCTCGAGCTTAGCGAGACAGAACAGACAAGACGGGCCGTATAATAATAATACGGGCAGTATAATAATGGGAAGAAACGCGTCAAGTGTATTGTATTATATTACTAAGCGTTGTTACTGTTAATGTGCGTTTAACTTGTAATTTCTAAGGTTTTCTGTTTACAGGGTCTTCGTTTTCGTAGTACGGGAATCTTCGTTTTCGTAGTACGAAAACGAAGACCGGGTCTTAGGTCTTAGGTCTTCGTTTCCGAGGGTCTTCGTTTTCGTAACACCCTTCTGATGAGACCCTTTGCCTGGGTCATAATTTGTGTTGTTTTTTTTTGCAAGATAATTTACCCTGTCTCACCGTCTGTGCCTGCATGTAGCTTTGTCCACCAAATGCTTGATGAGTACCACACAACTTAGTGTTATGGCAATCTAATAAACTTTTAAGGAGATTAGGGAGTCAGAATGCCTAATTTTTCTTGTTGTTAGTAGGGATCTTATTCATGCAAAACATGATGAAGAAAGCAACTGCAGGGAACATTGCAATGCTGAATGCGCATGTTAGAACTCTGTACATCACTTGCTTTGCTATACAAAACAATGGTGAAATCACCAGATTTTCATTGTCTGAAAACAAGAACACAGCAAAAGCAAATTTACCAGTTTTTTTGTTTGGTACTAAACTCCTCGCTAAATTTATATTTTGTAAACAGCAATAAGCTCTGGTAGGCCCATTCAGGCTCTGTATGTGCAACCAAAGTTATGATTTTTGTGTCTTAATGTTTGCAGGAGAGCTCTCAAAGTGTCATCAGAAACCCATGTTCCTCTCATGGCTCACCACACATTTTCCACCATTAATACTCAAAGAAAAGGTGGGATATATATAGATCCATACTTGCAAACTTGGTGTCATATCATGAAACATAATTAAAGCAGCAAACACATTCCGATTTCCTGTGTTTGCCACTTCATAGAAGGTGGCAAAGGGCTTTTGTGTGACCCGTGATGGCCCCCAAAATTTGCAGCGTGACGCGTGATTGAACCCAAATTATCCGCGTGACGGGAGACCAGAAATCACAACCTGACACATGATTTTGCTATTTTACAAGCTGGTGAAGCGTGATTTACACGTCTTCTGTTCTTTTACCTAGAAGGTAGTCTGAATTTCAGCCGTCCTCTCCCCCTAACCCAGTCGCGAGATATTGCGATACGAAGCCCGAGTAAACGTTCTCCGAGCGTGTAGTTTCAACAAGTAAGTCGTCTCTAAATGTATCATAAAAAGTAATATGGCTAGTGAAATGCAGTTCATTCCAGAATAAAAAACGTTGAATGGAACATCACATTAAAAAATTCATCCCATGAGTTGAAATCTTACAGAATAAGCTCAGCGTACTTACTCCCTTTTACATGATGCGTTATACGTGATTGGATAGAAAAATTCAGCGTGATGTGTGATTGGAACCCCCCTTTTGCCCCCCCTCTTCATACAGTAAATTAATCATTCCAGTTTAATCAAAACATTGGAAACAACAAAAAAAGAAAGAACAACATTTATATTTGGCAAAGAGTGAAAGATTATATAAACAGGCTTACTTGTCATTGGCTGCTGAGGATGCAAGAATCATTTGGTAGTGGTATTGGGAGGACTGTGCTTATTACTAGAAAGCCACACCTGTATACGGGCTCTCATGGGCGCTGCGGCATGGTCAGTGAATCGAAAAATAGTTGAGAATCAATCGGCAACCCCTGTGGAAGCCTGCTTGCCACATTCATTTGATAAAGCTCTTATGCTGATTACCAGTCGTTTAGTACCCAGCTTAGACCATTCGTGCCAACTCAGTTTAATCTTTTCGTGCGGTACCCGTAGTAATAAAGTACGTTTTTCTTATGGTCGGTTAACTAAAATTTAGCTGTAGAAATAAAACGAGGATACCTGTGTTAATAATTTTCAACTATTCACCGAATTGGAATATATAAACGGTATCCTCTATTTGACGCGAAATTTGCACGGATATTTGTCTGCGGACATCATCCGTTTCAAATTGCGAACAGTTTGCGAACAGTTTTCCAAGAGAGGAAAACTGTCAACTTCGAGGAACAGATAATGTCCAAAATGTAAGGACAAATGCACGAGCAATTTTCGCGCAAGATAAAGGCCATTCCATTTGTTATCTTTCAAGTAATCTGCAAAGGGCGTGTTTACAAACAGCTTGCTGTGTGCAATGTGGGATGTTTTCTTTTGAGTGTTCTCTGATACGACTTAACGAACAAACAAATATCTTCGTCTGTATCGACCATAAAACGCTCTGTCATCTTGAATAAAATTTTTCACGAAGGCTTATGGTAGTGTGCGTAAGATTTGAAAATGAGAAATATCACCACGGTGATATTAGTGTATATTTACCGAGCGGGGAAGTAAGTATATATTCACCAACACTGAGGTGAATAGCCGTTTCGTTATATACTCAGTGAGATAGTATAGCACAGAAAAAGCATTATTTTAACTTAACTTCAACTGTTTTAGTATATGCATATGCGTTTTTGACCAAGCGTGAGGTCAAGATGGCTAGATATTGGCCGAGTTTTTTTTTTTCCTTGCGTTTTTTATCGACGGAGACGGAGTCGAAGTCCGTAAAAACGCAAAAAAAAAAGGACGCAAATATCCAGCCATCTTGACTGAACAGGCTTGGTCAATAAAGGATTTATTATACAGAAAAAACATGTAGATATGATAAGAATCAAGAATGACTTGTTTATTTCGAGAGCTGGTAAAAAAATCGAACATTAATTGTGGCGCAATAAATCCGTGAGAGGCGTTAAGTTTTCTTCCCTTTCATCTTTCTCCTCTTTTTTGTGACTCCATCGCTGTCATTGTCAAAACATTACAAACTTTGTTAGTCCACTCCACGCAATTTTTTTTTAGCGGATCAGGATCAGGTTGGGTGACGTCGAGGCAAGATGGGCCCATCTTGTCCACTCAGATAGCCAATCAGAACACAGGATTCGCTTCATATTTCCGAAGTGCGCTGCCGGCTGAAAAATAATAATTCTAATTATTTTGATTCAAACATGTAGGGAAAGACATTTCATGTCCCGGAAGCCTTTGTGCTGGAGATATTTATACTCATTGTTTTCATGGTTGGCCAAGTACCATCATCGGCCCAAACGAACACATTTACAGTGATGTTTTAGAAGCTCGCCAACGTGGGGTTCTTTTTGACGTGGGTCATGGAGCTGGGTCATTCTCATGGACTGTCGCAGAGATTTGTGCAAAAAAGGGCTTCTGGCCAGACATAATCAGTTCTGATTTGCACGTAGAATCTGTAGAGGGCCCTGCTTACGACTTATTGACTGTGATGACGAAAATGCTGCACGTGGGAATGCCCTTGAATGACGTCTTAAAAGCTGTTACTATGACACCCGCGATTGCCATTGGACGAAATAATATGATTGGATCGCTGGACGTGGATCGTGCAGCAGACATTACGGTTTTGCGCCTTGAAGATGTTGACATGGACCTTGAAGACTGTAACGCACAGATAAGAAAAGTTAAACGGCGCTTTGTCCCTGTCGCTGTATGGAAGGACGGAGTTAGCTTCGAGATCTCTATACCTTGGCCGTTTCCTAATAAGGATAGACTACAAGAATTGGCCTCATTAAATGACGCACTTCTAATCAAAGATGAATTTTAAATATTTTGTTTTTCTTAAGATGTTTATTGATTCAGAAATGATTTATGAAAGTCAACAGAAAACTGAAAAAAGGGGGTAAGTTTCTTAAGAAACTGTGGTGCTGCGTCGGCAGGTATAAACAAGGCAACTGAGTTGAAAAAGTAAATTGGCCACCGTAAATAGTTTCAAAGCTGACGTTTCGCGCGTTACTTTTCGTCAGAGCGTCAACTCAATTGAGTAAACAGAAAGCTATTCACTTTGTCAGAGATAAATGAGAATTTTCCAAGGCATCTTGATTTAGTGTGCAATAAGGATTTGTGATTGTGTAGTGCGATCGTCCGGGCTAGAGTAGTCCTGGGAAGGGCTATTGCAACTCGTGGTGGTGACTGACGTTACGATAATCTGAGCGGAAATCCTCTGTATGGTCAATTGAAAAGTTGTTATCAGTCCAGTGTACTTGGTCTGGTTCGTGTAAATTAGTTGGTCAGTCGAGCCGTGAAGTTATTGGCTGTAAGACCCAAGTGGCGTAATTCGGTTGTGATGGGTCAGTTTCGAAACTGACACCTGTCGAGGAGAATCTGTCGTAAGTTTGTAAACCGGCTTTCCTGGGTCAATCGTTGAAAAAGAGTATTGCTTTAGCTACGATAGGCATTATGCAGAGTTTCAGGCAAAAGTATGTCTCGTAACTAAGGCAATTCTCAGTTACCCAGTCTTTAAGAATACGAAACCCATGTATTTTAAGGTCGAGTTCAAATCTGCGTTTTGTCTACTTAGAATTACCTCATGATAAGACTAAAAATATTCAACATCGACGAGGATGGGATTCGAACCCACGCATGCAGAGCACATTGGATTAGCAGTTCAACGCCTTAACCACTCGCCCACCTCGTCGGATCATGTAATTTACAGATTTACAGTGCATTACAGATGACATTTTTTAGGTGTTTCGGTTTCGGGTATTGGCAGTGGTTCTGGGAAAGAACGAAACCACGAGTTCATTTTCTCTCGGTGAAAGTTACTCATGTTTGTGCATCGTCATAAAAGCCAGAGAGTAGTACCAAAGAGCGCTGAGTGTTTCTGACAAACCGGAACAGCTAACTCTTTTTGCATAGAGTTTCGGCTCATTTACCTCATAAAAAGCAGATTGCCACGTTTTCAAATTGAAAAGATTAAAAACTTTCGACTATTCTACTATCCTCATAGACCATTAAGATATATCATCCCTTTCGTTAGAAAACAATTTAAGTCACAAAATTTAGGGTTAATTTGGTACAAAACAGCCAAAACGAGAAGAATTACTAAATAAGATTGGACTGAGACAGTCAGAGCTAGAGGAGACTGAAAAAGGATTGCAGATGTCTAAATTCAAATTTCTAGCCGTGAGTTAAACACATTAACACATTTACACATTTATTATAAAAACTAAACAAATTTAACAGATTTATAAATTTATACAACCCGCATGTAGCAACGCTAATCGGGGCGGATTTTATAACTTACAATGAAATTTAGCAAAATACATCAATATTAAAATCAAGTAAATGAATAGATAGAAATAGGTATACACATATTCACAAATAGCTAGGATTTACATTAGAAGAGCAAGAACCTATAATTAATTATTCCACGAGCGCGCGTTGGATATGAGATGATAGATAGCCAACGAGGCGCGTAGCGCCGAGTTGGCTATAATCATCTCATATCCAACAATAATTGTTTTATTAAAAACGTTAAATTATTAAATTTTATTAAATTTTTTAGCTCCCTTTTAACTTTAAGCTGACACATACGCTTACCATATTCGTAGATTATGGTAATTGGCTGATATACCATAATGGCTAAGCCAATAAAAAGTCTTGAGTTGCATTACCCAATGATCTAGTTTTTAATAATAAGACATAGAACGTAAGAAATTAATAATAATAGCTACTAGAGTTTAATTAATGATAATTAGTAATTTTAAACATTAACGTAGAGACTTCAAGAGCGAGTTTTCAAATCCACGTGCAGAAACGGGACTTAAACTGACGCTTTGACTGTGAAATTTAAATATGCGTTTAAAAACGTAAAGGGGTACACCTCTGAACTTTGGTGTGCTGTTTGAAATTAAGTAATACCTTGAAATAGAATTTACTAACAGATGAGCGTTGTTTCCGATAAATGATATATGCATCGTGTATTGATGCGTATCGAATATTTGTTTATCTCACGTGGAAAGCAAAAACAAAACGTTTTATTGAATTTTTACGAGTTTTACTGATCAGGAATTTACGACGGAAAATTTTGGAAAATAATATCAAAAAGCTGTTTCCAACAAAGTTTTCCTTTAGATCTTCAATATTCTTTCAATTTGTGCTAATTGTTTGTAGAGCGTACCTGTGACCTGTTTGTTGATCTGTTTTCAAATTGCTACTAATGGAAAATTTTGAAATAAGACGTAGTTGACGTCAAAATGAAATTTTCATCGTGTCACCATGTTAAAGTATATCAATAATTTCGTCTCTTTAAAGATCCTTCTCATTCTTAAGAACCAAATTAAGTTCAAAAACCGCGTAAGACTGTCATCGGGCAAAAAGGAGTTATCATTAATTAGCATATATCACCATACTGAATGGTGATATATGCTAATTAATGTGCGCGATTGGCTGGCGCGGAGATGATTAGCCAAATGCTATTTAGCTCCAAGCACCTGGAGAAGAATGAAAGTGACTTCTTGTTCCGCTTCTAGATCTGTCTCCGCTAGGAAAACTTTTCATTTTACGAGGAGACTACACCCAAGCAGACAGGAGGGGCAACAAGTATTTGATGGTAAATTCGTCTGTGTTTGGGTTCTCAAATTTAATGCAAACATCAGTATTCAACGCCTTGTTTACGAAAATTGGAGGAAAGCTACATATATGCAGTGTAACGAATGAAACCTTCGGCGTTTTGTAGCACAGTTTTAATCCGGCCAATCTCGATTAGTAATTGAACAAATGACATAGGAACAACTAAATGAGTGCGTCAAAACATTAACTTGTGCTTCAGGTGTCACTTTCGGGCATATGGGTTTCACTTTTTTCCGACATTAATTATAATTTACAAAAAGCGAATTTTTGCACGTACCTTTACAAGCTGTATGTAAATGAAGGAGTTCAGAGCATGCAGAGAGAAGAAGCCAAAAGCATTGACAGACATTTTCAACAAAGAAAGATATGAGATGGTCACCTTTGTCTAACTCAGGCTATGAGCGTGTTTACAGCGCTGGAATTGTCTCCGAGGTCTCGTCTGACGTCAGTCTTTCATCTTAACAACTTCCAAGGGCGAGCAAGCACACAAACACAGTCACCCAGATGCCATTTAGCCCCCCTCTCTCTCTTGTAACAAGTCCGTAGGTTAAAGGGTATTGGCATGGACTTTTAAAGTCAATCACTTTGGAACAGAATGAGTGACAAGATGCTTGTGCTTGTCTGTTTCTCATTCCCACAATTAGTAAAGTAGCAATCCTGGTGAACTCTAACTTGCTAAGGAAAGTCATTAATTCGTTTGACTGTTTTATCCTGTTTAAGTGGTCTTTGAATTAAAGTGATATCAGAGGGGGTTTGATGAATACCAATACCAGCGACGGAAACAAACCCTTCGAATAATCTCTGATCATTTTCACTGCAGTCGAAAATATTTCACGGTTTTTTGTCTGCATGGAAGAACTATTGACTGCACTCATCTTTAATGTTAAACTCCTTTCATCTTCCTCTCTGTTTAGACACGATGTCTACCCTGGAGTTACCAGACCGTAGCATGGCAGCTCTTATAATTGAATCGACCGTTTGCCTCGCATTGAACATCATAAGCATCACTGGAAACAGTCTTGTCTGTTTGGCAGTGTACAGAAACCGTAATCTTCGATCAACCACTAATGTGTACATCGTTGCCCTTGCTATCAGCGATTTGTTGGTTGCAATGATAGAAATGCCTTTGGCATCAGCTACACTTATAATTGGAAGATTTGATTTCGGCTTCGCCCTATGCCAGATTCAAGGTTTCATTGGCCCCTTCGCCACTTACGTGACTCCGGCAACCATGGGTTTAACTGCGTTTAACCGCTACAAACGAATTGTCAAAGCAAACAGTTACAACAAGATATTTTCTCCCTGCCGGTCTAAGATCTGGGTGTGTTGTTTATGGATGTCTCTGGCCCTTTACCTGTTAATTGGGCGACTCACCGGTTGGCTAAACATTGGTTTTATCCGTGGCTATGCAGTTTGTGCCTTTACATACCCAACTGCTGCTAGTCAAATCGTTCAGTACACCATCATGGTCGGAGTACTTTTCTTTATCCCGCTGTGTATCGGTATTTTCAGCTATTACAAGATATTTTTCAAAACCAGTCAGCATCAACAGATTGTGGTCCCATCGCTGCAGAACACGACTAATGCTAACAACACCAGAGCAAGGAGATGCACAGTGAAAGAGATAAACATTAGCCGAGTGTTGCTCTACGTAGGCGCTGGGTTTTTGTGTTGCTGGATTCCATTATGGGCACTTGCACTTTGGAAGCGCTTCTCCCCCGAAACATGTCCGCGAATTGCGGAATTACTCGTTACCTTTTTCCGCTTTCTGAGTTCGACGATAAATCCCTTTATTTACACTTTCAATAATAACGATTTCCGAAAGGAATTTCGCAAACTACTGGGTTGCCCCAGAGGGGCACGGACTGCACCAAATGATACCACTACGGCTACTGAAAACGAAGATCTGGCAGTCGAAGCTAATGTCTAAGGTAATATTCGAGATGTCTACCAAAATATCAACCGCTGAAGAGTAAGATCAGATATACCTTAAGAGGAGTCCTCCAGAAAAACTTTTGTACCTGCATCGCTTTCAGTTTAATAAAACCCTTGAAAAGTAGATATCGCCGTAGCGCTAAAAAATGTCGAATACGAAGAACGAATTGCTTCAAAGATATGGTTTAGTGGTAAGCAATTGCAAGCCAAATGTAAAGTGTATTCGCAAGTACGATCAAGTAAACTGCACCGTGCCAATCATGCAGTAGCTAATCATCGAGTGCAAAACGTGCATTCCTACTGGTTACCGAGAAAATCTACCTTGAACACTTTGAAAATCTGCAGTAACCTCAAAAATAAAGATTATTTGGTCCTTTTTTTGTAGATTTAAGAGACTACTCTAACCTTTTTAGAAATTCATCATGATATGTCCAAGTAACTGTACAGTTCACATTTGCTTTCAGACGCGTACTTTCTAGAAAAGCATGTGGTCATTTCTCCTTTTATACGTCGTTCTCGAGCGGTCCGATATTTCGCCGGGAGAGTTCAGTACAGCACGAACGGCGCGAGTACCTTCCAAATACAACGGGACCTACTCGTCTGCGGCGATATATCGTCGAGTCCCGGCCCTGCGAAAGGCAAAGGTAAGCCCAAGTTCGCATGTGGCGAGTGTAGCAGGCCAATGAGAAAGAAACAAGACGCCATCTTGTACACGTCTTGTGATACTTGGTCCCACGCAGAATGTCTCAAATTAACTGTTACTGGATTTAAATACTATCTACAACATCCCAACTTGGAATGGACATGTGCTTTCTACTCTCTGCTTAAACTACCGGACTCTTTCTTTGACGAAACTGGTTCACTCACTTCGAACGAGAGCAACTGTGAAGACGAGGAGCTCGAAGATGAATCGACCGATACTGAAGAAGTTCTAGCCAAGATAAAAGAAATTAGAATCGAGCACAGAAGACAATGTGTTATTGCCTGCCTCAATATTAACAGTCTGCAAAAAAAGTTCGATGAGGTTCGACTATGGCTAGCTACTAATGCATTCGACATTTTGACAATACAAGAAACTAAAATCGACTCAACTTTTCCGAGCTCACAATTTCAGGTCGACGGCTTTAACTTTTATCGTCGTGACAAAGTCAAAGGCGGCGGAGGCATCGTAGTATACGTCAGAGACAATATAGCCGCCTCTCGGAAGAAATTGAGAGGAAAATGTGTCGAATCAATGTTGTTTGACATGAATATCGGTTAACGACAGTTTGCATATATTACCGCTTATAAGCCTCCATCTGCAGACAACAACACATTAATTCAAACGCGAACCCTGCGATCTTCTCGATGAAGCTAACAGCCTCTCTGACAATGTGATTTGTACCGGGGACTTAAATTCGGATATCCTCCACCCACTTGACAATCACAAGGAGGGTCAATGTTTACTGGACTTGTGTGATATTTATGACCTTGACAGCCTTATTAAGGTTCCTACAAGGGTCACTAAAAAAAAACAGGGAATCCTGCCTCGACGTTATTCTCAGTAACGTCCCCGCGTTTGAAAAGAAAAGAAAAGCGTTTGCCAAGGACTTGTCCAAGCGACCATGACCTCGTATATACGGTTCTGAAAACCCGACACATGCGATCAAAGGCAGAAACCACAACAAAACGATCCTTTAAAACTTTTGGTAAGGATTCATTTCAAGCTGATTTATCAACAGTGCCTTTCTCTATCTCATACGTGTTTGAAGATCCTGACGATGTATATTGGTGTTGGTATCAACTTTACGATCCGACAGAAATCCATAATATGCTTTTGTCTTTACTGGCTTCTGAGGATGTTTACATTGGATCGCCTTCCAATGTTTGCATTGGATGCCTTCTGATGTTTGCATTGGATGTTTACATTGGATCGCCTTCCAATATCAACTTATATCAACATATCCACAATGACGGTTAATTCTGCAGTTAAAGTTGCAATGGTGGCGGCTATTTATTTATTTATTTATTATTACTATTTTATTCCCTTTTTTTTTTCTTACTCTGTAATGTCATCTCTTGTATTCTACAAGCGATGTAATATACCTCTATTACTTTTCCACTTGTTATGTTAATACTTTCAGGGCTACTTTTCAATTATTTTTCTTCATACCTTGTCCAAATTTGACAGGCTGTAATGTAAACCTATTCTCTCCTGTCGTTTCCCGCTTCGACTAGCCAATGCTATTTGCGTGAAGCGACCATTTTTGTATTTTTCTTTTGTCAAATAAAAAATAAAGTAAGTAAGTAAGTTAAAGTTTTTTTGAGATCAAGTTTTGGATGCTCACGCGCCCAAGATAACAGTCAAGAAACGCCCGTCACCGGCTGGAGTATTTATAACAGACGAAATTGGTTAGAGCGCTGGATTTTTGTGAGGGAGGTCGAGGTCGATGGTTCGAGCCCCGGCCGGACCAACACTCAAGGTCTTAAAATAACTGAGGAGAATGCGCTACCTTTCTGTAGTATTGACAAATAGATAGACATTCTGGTCTTCTCGGATAAGGACGAATAAACCATAGGTCCAGTCTCCTGCATCTATCAGTTAGTTAATTTGGTTAGGCAGGGGACGTTAAAGAACCCACTTACGAGATTACTGTGATGTGTTCTGGCCTGTCTACTGGGAACTGGGGGGAGGGGGCATCTTCAAATAAGTTTCCTTCGTTTGTTTGTAAACTGCTGATGCAGTCCGGCCAAAGTCCCCCGAAAAGTGTTGTGGTGCGCATTTGATCATATCCACATGTTAATTTGCGCAATATAAATATTAAATTATCATTATTATTATTATTAAACAACAACAAACATATGAAACATATGTGTGAACTGCGGTTATGAGACGTATATGAACGATCCTTCGCAGTAAAGCACTATTTGAGCAATAGTGAAAATCAGACCTGAAAAAAATTTCAGGCCTGTACGGGACTCGAACCACTGACCTCTGCGATACTAGTGCAGCGCTCTACCAATTGAGCTAACAAGCCAACTGGGAGCAGGCCATCAAATTAATTCGATATAGAAACCCGTAGATGATAAATCAAACAACAACAAACATATGAAACATATGTGTGAACTGCGGTTATGAGACGTATATGAACGATCCTTCGCAGTAAAGCACTATTTGAGCAATAGTGAAAATCAGACCTGAAAAAAATTTTTATTTATTTATTTATTATTACTATTTTATTCCCTTTTTTTTTTCTTACTCTGTAATGTCATCTCTTGTATTCTACAAGCGATGTAATATACCTCTATTACTTTTCCACTTGTTATGTTAATACTTTCAGGGCTACTTTTCAATTATTTTTCTTCATACCTTGTCCAAATTTGACAGGCTGTAATGTAAACCTATTCTCTCCTGTCGTTTCCCGCTTCGACTAGCCAATGCTATTTGCGTGAAGCGACCATTTTTGTATTTTTCTTTTGTCAAATAAAAAATAAAGTAAGTAAGTAAGTTAAAGTTTTTTTAAGATCAAGTTTTGGATGCTCACGCGCCCAAGATAACAGTCAAGAAACGCCCGTCACCGGCTGGAGTATTTATAACAGACGAAATTGGTTAGAGCGCTGGATTTTTGTGAGGGAGGTCGAGGTCGATGGTTCGAGCCCCGGCCGGACCAACACTCAAGGTCTTAAAATAACTGAGGAGAATGCGCTACCTTTCTGTAGTATTGACAAATAGATAGACATTCTGGTCTTCTCGGATAAGGACGAATAAACCATAGGTCCAGTCTCCTGCATCTATCAGTTAGTTAATTTGGTTAGGCAGGGGACGTTAAAGAACCCACTTACGAGATTACTGTGATGTGTTCTGGCCTGTCTACTGGGAACTGGGGGGAGGGGGCATCTTCAAATAAGTTTCCTTCGTTTGTTTGTAAACTGCTGATGCAGTCCGGCCAAAGTCCCCCGAAAAGTGTTGTGGTGCGCATTTGATCATATCCACATGTTAATTTGCGCAATATAAATATTAAATTATCATTATTATTATTATTAAACAACAACAAACATATGAAACATATGTGTGAACTGCGGTTATGAGACGTATATGAACGATCCTTCGCAGTAAAGCACTATTTGAGCAATAGTGAAAATCAGACCTGAAAAAAATTTTTTTCAGGTCTGATTTTCACTATTGCTCAAATAGTGCTTTACTGCGAAGGATCGTTCATATACGTATTGTTATTAAATTCAGAAGATCATGCGGGACGGAGGCAATCAGATAAAACGATATTACAGATCCAGGAATCTTGTTGAGTGGGAAAAATATCGTGCCTTAAGAAACAGAGTTATTAGTATGAGAAGAAAAGCTATACAGAACCACTTCAAGACACTTTGCAAGGAGAAATACACAGATCAAAGAAAACTCTGGAACACAATTAGACTGTATATCAATTCACGCAAAAAAAAAACAACAATAATCGTATTGTTCTTTAGGAGAATGATCAAATAATGCGGGAGCCACGTGAAGTTGCAGAAACTTTGAACGAGTTCTTT